CAAAGACCTTCCTCCAGAGCAGACAGAGAAAGCCTTCCCCTGGAGCTGACGCCCTGAATTTGGACTTGTAGCCTACTAGACTGTGAGAAAATAAATTTCTCTTTGTTGAAGCCATGCACTTGTGGTGTTTCCATTAGAGCGGCGCTAGATGACTAAGACGATCTCCTTTCAGATGACCCCAGGGAACCCCCACTTCTCAGGTTCTTGCGAGCAACCGCAGCAGAGCTGGCTTCACTCTTGTCCCTTGGCCCAAAGCATCGCTGATATGGCCGCGTATCAGTACGCACGGACGAGGGTCTGTGGCTTGATGATACGCAGACCTGTGTGGGCTCCAGCTGTGAGGACCGACCCACTACTGCAATATGCAGGGATGTAAAACCGGGTGTGGACTCCTCCTGCTTCAGACGCCGAACCAAAATTTACAATTTAAAAATGCAACAGAAACATTGGCAATGGATGAAAATGAGCAGCCGTATGGCGTGAAGCTTTTATGGGGAGTGAAATCAGTGTCTGCACCCAAACCTGCATCTGAACCGGACATCGACTGCCCTGGGCTGGCCCTAGGGGGTGAGGGGCGCCCCGACCTGCTCCCCACTCTATCTCAGCCCCAGGGAGCTTCATTGTACAACACTCTGTGTTGTGAGCTCTCGGCATGAATAATTATTCGTATAAAGCCTTCCCCATCAGCCCTCATCCAGAAAGTCGTTACCATGAACACAGGCAAAAGCAGACAAGAGGTAACGGGTTATCACAAAGACTGATCACAATAAAACATTACTCCCCAGAGCTCTCCACCTCCTTAAGGCATGTCTGTGAGTCCTGGGTTAGAAACACCGTTCTCAGCCATAAGTGTCTGGGTGGTGTAGATGGTTAACACACCCATCTGCTAACCGAAAGGTTGGCGGTTTGAATTCAGCCAGACCCCACATGTGTCAGAGTAGAACTGTGCTCCATAGGGTTTTCAATGGCTGATCTTTCAGAAGTAGATCACCAGGACTTTCTTCCAGGTGCTTCTGGGTGGATTCAAACCTCCAACCTTTCAGTCAGCAGGTGAGTGCATTAATCGCTTGCACTTACCAGGGGCTCTGTGCTAACAAAGGCTCTTTTTAAAAGAACGTTAAATATACCACGGACTGCCAGAAGGACGAACACATCTGTCTTGGAAGAAGTACAGCCAGAACGCTCCTTAGAAGTGAGGATGGTGAGACTCCATTTCACGTACTTTGGACATGTTATCAGGACCCACCAGTCCCGGGAGAAGGACATCACACTTAGCAAAGTAGAGGGTCAGCGTAAAAGAGGAGGACCCTCAACGAGATGAGCTGACACAGTGGCTGCAACAATGGGCTCAAGCACAACAATGACAGTGAGGATGGGGCAGGACCGGGCAGTGTTTCCTTCTGTTGTACACGGGGTCGCGATGAGTCGGAACCGACTGGAAGGTACCTACAACAACAGAAGTCTGGTGCTCAGAGCAGCATTTCTTGGTGCTCAGGGTGAAGGAATATTGAGGTTGGAAGAACGTGGTGCCCGGACTCCTTCCCTGTATGTGAAACAGCCTTAGCCCAGCTCTCCTGCCCCGGAGCCACTGGTGGCTGGGGGACCTAGAAGGCCCGAGGCCCCCGGCTGCTCCCCCTGCTGGAGGCCTCCAGGGTGGCAGTCTAGTAATTTCGCAATTAAGCCCAGGCCTTGGAGGAGTGGTTGTTTGCTGCCCTGGACGGCAGTGAGCCCACGCTCTGCTCCAGGTCCTGGGGGCACAGCAGGGGTGGGGGCGCTTGGGCAGGCACAGGTCCCCTGCAGAGCAGCACTTGTGCACCAGGGGGCGCCCGGGGCCTCTCTGAGCCTGGCCCCCTCCGTCCGCCCCTCCTTCTGTACTCTGAACCGCAACAACCACAGCCGCACACCATCTGTCTCCAGGCCTGCTTCCAGGCCTTTCCAGAACGTGCTCAGCACTTGGTGTGTTTTACCTGCATGTGCCCGGGAGCCCGGAGCCTGGCCTATGGGCCCTGAAGGAACATTCCCCAGATGGACCCCTGTGCTCCCCCCAAATCTCCCAGGAGGGCCCCCAGAACCTGTAAGTGTGCCCAAGGCCCACCTCGGCGGAGCTGTGGTTCAGGATTCTCCCTCAGAGCAACCCGCTTGCCCTCCACTGGATGCGTCAGCTACAAATCAGCTCCCCAACCCCACAACTTCATGGATAGGCATCAAAGCGGGTCAGACACGGTGGCCTCCAAGAACCCGGTGGCCCTGATGTTCTCACATGAACAATACCTCCTTCCCCCAGTGAAACGCACTAGCTCTGATTTAAGCCACTTGTCTGCAAACGGGGCCGTTGTGTAAACGAGCGAGCGGACCCTCGGAACGTTAGGACACCTGTGGCGGACGATTTCATCGGTCAATGTCTGCAAAGTGAGTCTTCACCAAGTTAGCAGGGTTTAAATATCCTCAGTGGGATTTCCTTTAAACTCTGCCTGCCAAGCATATGAAAGAACTGATGAAATATTTTCCTCTTGTAAAAGACATAATACAAGACCAAGTGTAAATACACGTTTTGATAACATCTCATGTCTCCATTAAGTGATGTTGTTGTGTGCCAGCGAGTCACTGTTGACTCATAGCAACCCCATGTGACAGAGTAGAGCTGTCCTATAGGGTTTCCTAGGCTGTAATCTTTATAGGAGCAGATCACCAGGTCTTTCTCCTCTGACCGTGGAATTGATTCCCTCTCCCGATGACTCCATGTGACAGAGTAGAACTGCCCCGTAGGATTTCCTAGGCTGTAACCTTTATGGGAGCAGATGGCCAGGTCTTTTCTCCCATGGAGCTGCTGGGTGGGTTTGAAGTGCCAACCTTTTGGTTAGCAGCTGAGCACTTAACCATTGCACCACCAGGACTCTTTCTCAATTAAGTAGCCCTGTGCAATGAATGAGGAAGACCGGAGAAGAATTAATGCATTCAAATTATGATATTGGCAAAGGATATTGAATACACCATGGACTGCCAGACAACATATACATCTGCCTTGGAAGATGTACAATCAGAGCGCTCCTTAGAAGCAAGGATGGCGAGACTTTATCTCACTTATTTTGGACATGTTATCGGGAAGGACCAGTCCCTGGAGAAGGACATCCTGCTTGGTAAAATAGAGGGTCAGCAATAAAGAGGAAGACCCTCAATAAAATGGTTTGACATAATGGCTGCAACAACGGGCTCAAACATGACTACGATTGTGAGGAGGGCGCAGGACGGGGCAGAGGTTCGTTCTCTTGTACACAGGGTCACTGTGAGTTGGAACCGACTCGATAGTACCTAACAAACACTGAAAGCTTTCATTTCTCTCAAATGACTTGGTGTTGGGGTGAAAAGTTTCCCCTCAAACAAAGGACAGGATTGGATTCTTCTGCGCCACCATTACCTGACTCTCGGACAGAGTCCGGCTTCTCCGTCTTGCATGGTGGGAGGCCGTCCAATGGACCCTGACGGAGTCCTCATCCGAGGTGTCCACATCGGCCAGGTACTGGGACAGGAGCTGGTCTTTCCTGATGATACCTTTGGAACAAAAGCAAGTTTGAGTTACTCGGATGTAAAACTGAAAGCCAATGGGTGCACTTTTTCCGGTGAAGAGAAATGAGAGATTAAGGGAAATGAGGACATACATGGTTATGGTTGGATGTGATGGAATTAAAACCCTTAAATCAAATGAGGAAGGGGCTGAGTCCACATCCTCACCCCAGGATCTTCGGGAAGACAGAAGCCCTGCGCTGACAGTCAGGTAAGGGTTGTAGTGATTGTTGTTAGGTGCCGTTGAGTTGGTTCCGACTCATAGCTATTCCATGTACAGCTGGGAAGAAGGACCCAGTGGTCGGTCAACTTCTGAAGAGAATTAGCCAGGTGAGGGTTGCAGAGCCTAAAGTCATTGTTGTTTGGGGTGTTTTTTTTTTTTTTTAAATTAAATTTAACAAGTCATTTATTGACTACTGCACATTTTATATGCTAACCGAAAGCAGAAAATATTTTAAAAATTTTAAACATTTAAGCAAAACAGCGTATGTAAATAATTCCATTGAAGACATGTTGTTGAAACATGATTATCCATCTTAGCAAGGCATAATTGGTAGAAAACATTTAAGCTTTAAATGGCATAAACTTCTCCTACAGTCTTGACTTGAAAGATACAACACTCGAAATGGCCACTTAAGAATTTCTTCTCTCAGCTTCATTGACAAGTCAACGCACCTGCTGGTGTGGCTGGGTGCCATCGAGTCGATTTTGACTCATAGTGAGCCCATGTGACAGGGTAGAGCTGCCTTCTAGGGTTTTCTAGGCTGTAATCTTTCTGGAGCAGATCACCGGCTCTTTCCCCCATTGGTGTGTATTTTTTTAAAGCCATTTTTGCAAAGCAGATAATGTAACGATGTCACACCAAATTCCAGGGGAGGGTCCCAGGATGCCTCCCCCAGTGGTTGTGACCTCGAGAGGTCTTTCTGGATGGGCCACTGCTGGTCGTTTTCGGTGCCAGACTGGCGATTCGCAGACTTGGGTGGGCACACGTCATTCATGGCTTGACATGCTGATTCCTGGGCTCTGGGGGTGGCGTTGGAGCCCAGGAGCCATCATTTCAAGCCACACCGTAGGTGGCATTAGACAAAAATGCCTTAGAATCAATGGAATAGGGTAGTAAGTGGAGGAGGGGTGCTTGCTATCATCAATGGCCTCATCAATAATCACCCGCCCACACCTCTGGTTGGCCTGGAGGGAGACACACACAGCACCAGGGCACTGGGGGCTGCAAGGAAGAGCGTCAGGGTTGACATTCACACACAAAGTATCTGACCAGAAGGTCGCAGATATTTCTGTGCTCGACACACAGTCATATCAGTACAGTGAATCCTGCCGACAGCCGGAATGAACTGAGCCTTGTGCATTTTCTCTTTCCCTGGAGAACATGCCCAGCCTGCCCCTCCTGGGAGACCACACAGAGTGAAGACGAGCAGTGCCACCCTGCACCAGCCAGCCCCTGCTGTTCTGCCAACCACAGGAGGAGCCCAGCCAAGATCAGCTGTTGTTGTCAGCTACAGATGGGACCCCTGCCCTGGCCAACAACTCTACCTCAGCCTTGGAAGACCCTCAGGCGGAGGACTAGCTAGGCTGTGCCCACACTCCTGACCCATGGAAACAGTGAGCTAATGAGCTGTTCTAAGCTTTGTGACCATTTTTATGTGGCTGTAGAAAGCTGGTGGGACCATCTCATTCAGTCCTTTAACCCTGGGAGGAGGTAGGCATTGTTACCCCTTTTCACAACGAGGAAACTGAGGCATAGTAGGTTGAGTCATGTGAGCACATAGCATGCCCTATTTCATTAAATCGCAGGCCCTGAAGATTTCAGGGTGTGCCTTTAAGAAAGCAGCTACACCGTGAGTGACCCCTAACACACTGCTTTCTTATCACGTCGACTGCAAGATACTCCCAATTTAAGAGGTGCTGACGGAGGCCTGGTGGCGCAGTAGTTAAGAACTCAGCTGCTAACCAAAAGGTCAGCAGTTTGAATCCACCAGCCGCTCCTCGAAACCCTATGGGGCAGTTCTACTCTGTCCTATAGGTTTGCTATGAGTCGGAATGCACTCGACGGCAATGGGTTTGGGTTGTTTTGGTCTGGCTATGTGAAAACCTGTCTTAGAATCAAGGAAATAGGGTGGTTAATTAATGGGCAGAGTGAGGCATCAACCTCAGAACTGCCTGGCTCCAAAGCTCTGTCTCGGCATCATACAGTCCCGCCTTCTCCCACCCTCCTCACCTCCCCACTCCCCCGCCCCCAGATGCTCAGGTGACTGCGGATCATGGGAGGAACTGAAAGTCTGTGTAAGCCTCGGCCCTGGGACTTGGTCAACGTGTACCCATTTGTTCATTACTGACCAGTTGCCATTGAGTCCACCCCGACTCATGGTGCCCCCACGTGTGTCAGAGTAGAACCGCCCTCATAGGGCTTTCAAATGGCTGATTTTTTGGAAGTAGATCACCAGGCCTTTCTTCTGAGGTACCTCTGGGTGGACTCAAACCTCCATCCTCTTGGTTAGCAGCTGAGCACATTAACCGTTTGCCCCACCCAGGACTCCACTCGTTATTTAGGGGGAAGTAAAGGGCCACCTCTCCCCCCACACTCCAAAGCCTCCGGGATCCTCATCAGCATGAGAGAACATGAGGTGATGGTCTCTATAAGACAGCAGAAAGGCACAAACAGAAGTCTGACTGGTTTCCTCGCACACGTTGTCTTAACCAGGTTCCCCCGAAGGCTGGCTCCATGCTGCAGTTAAGCAGAAGCACGTTTGTGGGGTGACTGGGCTTCCTCTCTAGTCATACTCACGCCTGCATTAATGGGGGCCCCAAACTCCCGAACCCCAGAATACACACCTACAGGGCAGAGGAAAAGACAGCAATTGGTGGGAGGAGTCTGCAGATTGCATTATGAAGCAAAGCTGTCTGACAACGAGATTAAACTGAGCAGGTGGAGGCGCTCAGCATTTAGAGACCGCCTGATGAAGGGCTCCGGGCAGGTGTGATGTTTGAGGATGTCCATCCGCCAGCAGCCTGCACCAGACGGGGTTGGGGGAGCGCCCTGACGGGACCTACCCCTGCTTTCGGGGCCCACTCAGCTGGAGCTGCCCCGTCTGGGGTCGCGGTGGTTGCTTGGGTGGCCAGTGTCCCTGTCCCACACCAGCTCAGCACCCTCCCTAACAGGTGGCAAGGATCTGAGCACCCAGCCGCAGGAGAGAGGGTGTCGGTGGCATTTTCCAGGGCTGCACACACTGAACAAGCACGTCGAATGAAGGGCTATTTTAAGTCAGCCTGTGGTGGTTAACATGCTCTGTGCTAACCAAAATGTTCGAGGTTTGACTCCACCCAGAAGCGCCTTGGAAGAAAGGCCTGGCGATCTATTTCCAAAAGGTCACGGCCATTGAAAACCCTATGGAGCACAGTTCTACTCTGACACACATGGGGTCGCCATGAGTCGGAGTTGACCCCACAGCGAGTGATTTTTGTATGTCTGCATATACTGGAGTGAAGGGGCAGCTTTCCTGGCAGCCCCTCCCCATGCACAGTGGATCTGGGGGACCCTGGCCAAAGCACCCACCGGGTGTGGCAGCCTCCCCCAAGGCTGTCCCGCAGGCATCTCCAGGGGGGCAGAGCTCAGTGAGGGCGTGTTGTCCGGAGGGCAAGGGGCCGTCCCTCTGCACTTCTGGATGGGGCTGAGACCTGGTGGCCCCCATGTCAGCATCTACTACCACAGCGCTCTGCAAGGTGGCCTCCTCCATGCCTGGGTCACCTGTGAGGGACTGAGCACAGGGCGCCATCAGCCTCAGAAGGTCTACTGGGGGGCAGCTTCTTGGAACGTGGGTCTTTCAAGTCAAAGCCCACCCACCGTTCCCCGCCCACCATGCCCTAGAGCCTGTTACGACTACTCAGCCATCAGACACTGCTCCTCCACCCTGCCGCCCCCACCTGGCACTGGACACCTCGCCCTCAGGTTATGGGGGGCAGACGCTGGAGCACACTGACCTGCAGGCTGTCCACGGCCGTGGGGTCAGAGGACAGGTGCAGGGCGTGATGGCAGGACTGAGTGGAGTCATCCGAGTCGGACTCCAGGTCCCGGCCGTGGATGGCGAGGCGTTTCTTCTGCGCAGGCATGGACGTGGGAGGACGGGTCAGCATCGATGAACTGAGGGACACGCACCCTCCCCCAAACTCGGCCCAGGGCCCAGCTGGCTGGGGGTCCAGGCTGGCTTCTCAGCAGGCTGTGCCCACCCACACCTTTCTCTGGGTTTTCTGTGCTAAGCCTCTGCAGTGCTCGGTGATCTCCGAGACTGTTAAGGGGGAGGGAGGAGGCTCTTTGTGCTCAGCTGTATCATTAGTGGGGGCCTCAGGAATGTTTACAATTCAGGATGTCAGGGCCTTAGGAGGCTCGAGGCTCAGGCAGGTGAGGTGGCTGGGGCAGGACTTACTTTGCTGCCCCCGGGCTGGGCCTGGGCTGCTGCGTCCAGTTCTCCATCCTCATCTGTCTGCTCACTGTCTCCACTGTTCTCACCAGGGGTCTGCTCAGGCCCACCTACGACAGATACCAGGGAGACTCCACCAGGGAGAGCCAAGAACAATCTGTCCATCCATCCATCTGTCCCCCATCCATCCATCCATCCACCCTCCCACCCACCTATCTGTCCATCCAGCCACCCATCCATCCACAATCCATTCATCTATCAACCATCCATCTATCCATCCACCCTGACACCCATCTACACACCTACCCATCCATCATCCATTCATCCATTCATCTACACCCACACCCCACACCCACACCCATCCACACACCCCATCCACCCTCCCACACACCCACCTATCCATCATTCATCTATCCATCCATCCATCCATCCAGGGAAAGATGACCCAGTAAGAAAGGTAAAGCACGGGCTTACTTGTGCTTACTTGCTAATCGGTAGTGAAATTGTTCAAGCACAAGTAAGCCCGTGCTTACCTTGTTTACTGGATCATCCATCCCTGTCAGGGATTGTACATTTGAAAAGAGGCTTTGATTCTGTAGGAAGGTGCTGTGGGGTTGGGAGAGAGACAGATGCCAGCCATCCCTAGAAGTAGAGTCTAATGTGGTGAAAAAATGTGAAATTGTTCCCTACAGATGATCTGGTAAGCAAGGTGAGCACCATGCTTACCTTGCTTATTAGACAATCCGCCCCTGCATTCATTCACCCATTGAGAAACATTCAGACAAGGCCCTCTGCTGGCAAAGCCCTATTCAAGCATGAGTTAGAACTGGTCCAGACTACAGCATAAAACCTGCAGTTTGCATCGCCAAAATCATGCTTAAAAAATCCAAAGAGTTGACGTGAAGCCCCTGGGTGGTGCAAACGGTTAACATGTTTGGCTGCTAACTGAAAGGCTGGAGGTTCTAGTCCACCCAGAGGCACATCGGAAGAAAGGCCTGGCAATCTACATCCAAAAAATCAGCCATTGAAAACCCTACAAAGCACAGTTCTACTCTGACATGCATGATGTTGTCATGAGTTGGAGTGGACACAATGGCAGCTGGTTTGACGTGGGACAGAGATTTCTTGACCACTTGTGACAGGGTGAGAAAACACAAATCAAGTCATTTGCAGCATAAGTGACTTACTGTGGATGTCCGGCAAGCTGTGCACCTGGGCAGGTGAATCTATAACGAAAGAAAAAGCACTGAGAACAAAGACATTTCTGGAAGGGCTGCATGCTTGACAAGGGGCTGGTTTCCTTCCTTTTCATGCCATTGGCACTGGCTTCTTTGGACCTGTGGTCCGGTTATGGAGAGTTTCAGCGAACACACATCCACCCCTCTCCCAGCTCCTCTTGAGAAGCTCAGTTGGGAAAGACCCCTGGAGGCCCCCCAACTGCACAAAGCCTGCAACAGGGCCTGGCTGGGCCGAGTTTCAAAACATTAACTTTAATAGTTTATTTTTTACCTTGAATTTTCTTTTTTTTTTTTTAAAGGCACAGCTTTCTCAGTTTTGTGCTCCGTCCGTCCTTGTAACCTTTTGTTATGGACTGAATTGTGTCCCCTGAAAAGCAACGTGGAAGTCCTAACCCCCCTACCTGATGTGACACTGTTTGGAAACGGGTTTGCTTTTGTTAGGTTAACGAGGTCATACCTGAGTAGGAGGGGCCCTAAGCCTAATCCCTTTGGAATGGTGTCTTATAAAAAGAGCAGATCAGGCACAGACACGGGGAAGGCAGATGCCACGTGAGCCTCGTTGACGAGAAAAGCAACGTCCAGGATCGAGGCCTGCAGAAGGAATTGCCGTGGCCAAGACCTGATTTGGACTTTTAGCCTCCAGACCCGTGAGAAACTAAATTCCTGTTCTTTAAGGATACGGACTTGTGGTATTTTGTTATGGCGGGCTCGCAAGCTAAGCTACCTTTCTTAATGTGATGTACAGGCAGGCCCTGGGTTACGAACGTCCGACTTAGTACAACTCATAGTTACGAACCAAGCCCCTTAAAGCCTATTATATTAAAAATTCCAGGTACCTACAATGGTTCGTAATAACAAGCTGGTGCTACTTTGCGGCACACATGAAAACATTATTATTAACGATACTGTATTATGCTAGAGATGTTTTAGTGTATCTGGAAGTGTTTCTTTAATGCTTTTTACGCACAGAAAGGTACGCTATATACTACGTACTAAGACAAACATTTGATTAACGGACATTAGCTATGAACTGTACCTAACTGTTCCGACTTACCTACAAGTTCAACTTAAAGACAGATTTAGGAATGGAACTCGTTTGTAATCCAGGGACTGCCTGTGTTTACAGGAAGCACGTGGGAGATCATAGCCCCTGGGGAATCCCTCCCAGGTCAGAACTGAGACCTTCAGCTGGGGCTGGGAGCAGCAGCTGGGACTCAGGTGCAAGAGCTAGTGGCTTCTGCTGCCCCACAGCGCCACCTCCTGGCAAATTGGAAAGTGGCAGGTTTGGCGCTGTGTTGACTTCCCAGTTCTGGGCCTGGCTGTGACCTTTTATAAAACACACTCTTAGCTGTACCCTAGACCAGAAGAAACCAGTTGCTGTTGCGTGGACTCGTGGCAACTGCATGTGTGTCAGTCAGAGTAGAACTGTGCTCCAAGGGTTCTGAAACGCTGATTTTTTTGGAAGCAGACGGCCAACCTTTCTTTCCAGCCTCCTCTAGGTGGGTTCGAACCTCTAATCTTTCGTTTAGAGCCAAGCGTGTTAACCGTTTGCACTGCCCAGGTTCTCCTGAGCCCCACTCCCATCCCTGGAATCTCCCCAGTGAGATACAGATACCGGAGCATTTCAAAACCCCTCAGGGGTCCTCAGGTCTGCTGGGGTTCTCCAGGGAGTGGGCTGCCTTTGGGGTTGGCCTTCCTCACGCTCCGTGTTGCTTCCACCCCGAGCACTGCTGCAGGGGCCGGATGGAGCTGTCGCTGGGGGAAGAGGGTTTGTTCTAAGGAGACCCCTGGGCTGGATCCTGGCTGGCCAGGTGGGGTGTGTGGATGTGGGGATCTGCGATGGGCATGCTCCAGCCTGGCACCGAGATGACAGCCACCAAGGATCCCTGGGCGTGTCACTGTAGAGGGAGGAGGTGGGCAGGAGCCCCCAAGAATATGGTGACGGCACCTGCCCCTGTTGTTCAGGCACTTCTTGTCCCATCTGTCATCTCAGCACGGTTATTGGGGGGCCTCTGTTCACTCTCAAAGACACCCCAGTTTGGATGAGTATCATACGCCCCCACCCAGAAGCCCAGCCACCCCAGGGGTCTGCTGCTCCGTACAGGTGAGGATGCGTCCGTGGTCTCCATCCTAAATTAAATGATGAGCCCAGGTGCCTCGGAAATGCCTGTGCCAGGCCCCTGAGGTCAGGAATGTTCCCAGGGGGTCTGCTCACTTGTGCCTCTTCTGTATGTTACGGGCTGGATTGTGTTCCCCAAAACATATGGGGAAGTCCTAACCCCTGGTGCCTGTGAATGTGACCTTGGTTGGAAATAGGGTCTGTGAAGATGCTATCAGTTAAGTGAACTTGAAGTTGTGATGGAGCAGGGTGGGTCCTAGTCCAATGTGGCTGATGCCCTTACAAAAGAGGAGAAGTGGCATAGGGACAGGCACACGGAGAAGATGGCCACGTGAAGACAGAGGCACAGGCCGGAGTGAGGCTGCCAGAAGCCAGGGAATGTGAGGATTGCCAGCGATGACCAGAGGCTGGGAGAGAGGCAAGGGGCAGATTCTCCCTCAGAGCCTCAGAGGGAATCAACACGGCCGACACCCTGATTCGGACCCTCAGCCTCCAGACTGTGAGTTTATGTGAGAACATACACTTGTCTTCTTGTAAGCCCCCCGTTTGTCGTACTTTGTTACAGCAGTCCTAGCAAACAAAGACAATACACAAACCTGAGGCTTTAAGGTGCACACACAAAGGTGGTGCCTTCCTGGGGGGCTGGGGCAGACTCTGGGCTGGAGCACGGTGAGGACCTCCAATCCAAGGAGCCCCACGTCTGCTCTGGATATACCCGAAGCTGCTGGAGCCGGCTGCCACTTAATGGCCCTGGGGACTCGCCTGCACCCTCCAGAGAGAGAGACTCAAGACTCTGAGACCCCAAGACCCTGAGACCCCAACCTGGCCCAGGGGGCTGTTCTGTCTGGGCTGAATTGCAGAAACTCAAGTCCAGGTGGCAGTGACGAGGCCCTGCTGTCTCCTAAACGCTGCTTAGTGATCTCCTCCCAAGTTCAGGAGAAACGCCCACTGTCCCCCCCGAAACATTCTCCCCAATCCCTTAAAGGAAGACATGTTTACAGCTAACTTATTGCAGCTGTAAAGACCAGCCTGGATGTCAAGTTCATCAAGAAATAAATACCTGGATTCAAAACATTAAAAAAACCGTGATTGCATTACAATAGATTTCTCTAGGTCTTGATAATCATTGGAGTCTCTGGGTGGTGCAAACAGTTAACGCACTCAGCTGCTAACCAAAAGTTCGGAGGTTCCAGTTCACCCAGAAGCACCTCAGAAGAAAGGCCTGGCGATCTACTTCCAAAAAATCAGCCACTGAAAACCCTATGGAGCACAGCTCTACTCTGACACCCATGGGGTCGCCAGGAGTCAGGGTTGACTTGACGGCAACTGGTCTGGTGTTTGGTTTTGATAATCCTCAGAACCCTGTGGAATGTTTGTTGAAAACTGAGCATCTAGGTTGCAGTCAGACGCCACGAGGAAGAAGGGTCTGGACACCACACAGCACTGACAAGCACCCTGGTGACCAGGCTACCAGCCCAGTTGAAGAACTTTAGCTACGAGTCCTCTGTGTGCTCTGAAAGCTCCAGAAAAGCATAACTTCAGTAGTGGGGAAGTGAGCATCATGCAGGACTTCCGAGGAGCCCAGGCCAGCTGTATGCAGAAGTTTGCACCCGCTACGGGAAGGAGCCAACGCCACAGAAGACTCCAGAATGGGGATGAGCAGAAAGGTGTGCACAGGTTCCCAGTACACTGGTCCTGAAGCACTAGGACCCGCCTGGGAATAAGAGGGCCGTGGTGAGGCCCCACCCCTTGCCCTCCAGGCTTACCTCCAGCCTGCAGCCTCCCAAAGAGGTACCGGACCACCTTGGCGCTCCCGAACCGCTTGAAGCGGGCCCGCACGTGCTCGTAGTACCACTCCAGGGAGCCGACCTTCACGACCCTGCAGGCATGGGCCGGGGGATGTCCGTGGCACTATCAGCGAGCAGCCGCCACACGCACGCAATGCCACCCTCATTGCCTCGCCCCACATCGGGACCTCGCCAGCCCAGAGCCCACGGGGCTGTCTGACCTGGGGGACACATCAACCCAGAGCCCATGGGGCTGTCCAACCTGGGGAACAAGCAGCCCAGAGCCCATGGGGCTGTCCAACCCAGGGGATACGTAGCCCAGAGCCCATGGGGCCATCTGACCTGGGGAACAAGCAGCCCAGAGCCCACAGGGCTGTCCAACCCAGGGGATGCACAGCCCACAGCCCAGTCTGGGGATGTGCAGCCCAGAGCTCACAGGACCGTCAGACCCGGGAGACACACAGCCCAGAGCCCATGGAGTAGTCTGACCCATAGGACAAGCAGCCCAGAATCCATGGGGCCGTCAGACCCGGGGGACATGCGGCTCACGGGGCGTCAGACTCCAGGCCACTCACTGGGCCAGGCGGCAGGGGTCGCACAGCCAGCCCTGCTCCCTGGGGTGGGCGCTGCCACACTCCTTGCAGGTGAAGAGGCCGCAGTCCAGGCACTGCCTCCTGCTGTTCACCAGGAGCCGGTAGGGCTGAAGGCAGCGTGCACAGTGCGACTCTTGCAGGTGGGCCGAGTCCGACAGCAGCTCCCTCTTGGAATTTTCCCTCTTAATCTGGCCCTTCAAGCCTCTGAGGGAAATATCAGAAAGAGGAAATCTGGATGCCTTGTGTTTGCAACAGGCTTTAAACACAAACACAGACATACACACACAGACACAGACTGACAGACACAGAAGCATAGACACACAGACACAGACATACACACAGAGACACACATGCACGCGCACACACACACACACACACAGACACACACGGACACACACACATACACACACAGATACAAACAGACACAGAAGCATAGACACACAGACAGAAACGGACACAGACATACCCACAGACACACATGCATGCACACACACACAGACACACACACAGAGACACACAAACACATAGACAGATACAGACATACACACAGACGCACACAGACACATATACATACACACACACGCACACAGACACACAGACGGACACACAGACGGACACACAGACACACATCCCGGCACTCTCTCACGTTCAGAAATGCTGACCTGAAGTCGGACAAAGACACCCACAGCACCCTTACCATTTCCAGCGGCACCCCACGCCCCATTCTCCCCAGGGGGAAGACCAAGAGGTTGAATCCAAACATGCACTTTGGTATTTTGGAGGGAAGCGTATTTTCCCATGGAAATGGCAGTGTATTGAAACACTGGCCATCTTGTGCTGCCTCGGTTTTCCACTTACTGCCAAGGGGCCGTGAACCACACAGACTCAGAGCACAGGGTGGGGCAGTCCCACCATTGCCCATACAGCCTCACGGAACCCACATATAATGAGAGGTTCTCCCACAGAGCTCCTAAACCACAAATTCACACTCTCTTCCCAGCTGGGATCCTGACCGCTGAGCCCAAATGCCAAGACTGTTTTGCTGGACGAGCGTGGATCCGTATCATCAGCACCCACTGTCCAGTCTCCCCTGGTGGTGTGGGGGTGGCGGTTCTGCGGAGCCTAGCAGCCCTGGGGCTGCAGTCTGCTTGGCCACGTGGTTCTCTAGAACCATCCTGTTGCCCAGTCTGATGGGTTAACAGGAGGTTAGAGAAGAGAGAAGAATCCGGAGATTCAGGGGTTGGTCGGAGCAGCAGAGAAGATGCAGGGAATGAGGGGGTGGGGGAAGTGAGAAGGGCAAGACACGCGTGAGCTTAATCATGCTTATTTACTAATCTGTAGTGTACAATTTCAGTGAAACGTATGTGAAACTGTGCACTACAGATTAGTAAATAAACACAATGAAGCCCATGCATTCGTTCCTTGCTTACTGTAAGTGGGGACATACCGTGCTTACTGGTTAATCTGCCCCTGGGAGGGAGGGGTAGATGCCCACTTCTGTAAGGCTTGGGCCAGTCACACCCGCTCTGCCAGGGCCTGAGTTAACTGCTCTCAGTTAATGACAATATCAGGTTGGTGCCCTTTTGTAAAAGCTGAGGAGCTTCACCAAGACTAGTATTTGGAAGGCAGATTATTACACCTCCCTGGAGTCCCTGGATGGTAGAAATGGTTAACTGCTTGGCTGTTAACCAAAAGGTTGGAGGTTTGAGTCTACCCAGAGGCACCTCAGAAGAAAGGACTGGTGATCTACTTCCAAAAAAACAGACACTGAGAACCCTATGGAGCAGTGCTGCTTGGACACGTGTAGGGTCGTCATGTGCAGTGTGATGGATCACTTTTGTGTGGCCTTTTAGCCATAGCCTTGTAACTTCCAACCAAGTGATTGGGCGAGACTGTGCAGATACGGTAATTGTGGCCCACCAAAGGGATTGGTCAGTTTTGCCATTCCACTGGGCTTGAAATGAGCCACTCCAGAGATGGGAAGAGAGAAGAGCCCACCATCACCAAGGACGAACAGCCAAGGGCCAGCACATCCTTTGGACTTGGGATCCCTGCACTGAGATGCTCCTGGAACTAGGAGACAGACAGACAGACAGGCAGACAGACAGAGAGATGTAACACTGAAGGCAGAGACCCGGCAGCAGAGACCCGGTGGCAGGAGATAGCATGGTGGCCTTCCCAGCCCATGGAGGTAGAAAATTGAGTGCCTTTGGGGAGAGGCCTAGGAGCAGGCAGAGGCCCAGTATGGCTGGGAGGAGGCTGTCCTGATGGAAGAACTGTATCCTGAGTGTTCTTGAGCCTGAATTGTAACTATTGCTTCCCTAATAAACCCCATAATCGTGAGTGTGTTCTGTGATTTCTATGTGGCCATTGCAATGAATTATGGAACCCAGCAGAGAAGCAGGGAGTGCCGTGGGAGGGACGGCTGGTGTCAGAATTAGTAAAGATGGCTGAGAGAGGAGGCATGGCTGACCTCTCCCTCACAGGAATTAGGCTGTTAATCTTGGTTCTCCTTCCCCTCGTGAAGAGTGAGGAGGTCAGACACTGCCCCCATGCTGTTTTTACACCATCAGTTGGAGTAAACGACCGTAACTGGTTAGAGGGGGCTCAGGGTCCTGAGGATAAAGCCAGATATTTCTTATCAAGCCACTCCAGGATTTTCCCAGCAGGAGAGCCAGAGCCGCGTTAATACCAAATCTGTCCCAGTGGAGCATGACTGAAACGGCTTGGCTTGGCGAGTTTCCAGAGCAGGAGTTACCCAGCACCTGGAAGTCCCAGGAAAACCACAGCTCTCCTAGACCATCAGGGTTTTATTGGTCTGGCTTCCTGGTGAGTGAGCCAAGGTGAGCTGCTGTGAAACCTGCCCCACGCAGGGAACACGTTCATGTGTTCTGGGTTTCGGACAACGTCTGCCAAACATAATATTTTTAGTTTTAGGTAAGATGAAATGAATCCATTCTGACAAAAGGTAGTGAGACACCAGGTGTTGTGGTCCCCTGAGAACAGAGGTTCCTGTCACCGATGCCCCAGAGCATGGTGGAGGGAGAAGGCATTGGGTGATTCTAGGGGCCTGGAGAAAGGACTTGTGGTTTCAAGTGGCCTTGGCTGACCTTCACTGACTTCCCTCCTCCAGCTTTCATAAAAAGACTTGCGAAGTCAGAGCCATAAAGGAAACCGGGCACAGCTTCGAAAACAAAAGGGGCCAACCAGTTGTGGGAATCTAGGACGAATCCAGTGGTCCGCTAGAGAGATAAAGCTGCCTTGACAAGAAGATAATACCTTTGCCTCAAACAGAACTGCACGGAACACCTGGCTCCAGGTAGAAGGGGCTCGTCTCCTCCATTCTTTCCCCGGCTGTGTCTGCACCAACCAGGAGAGCTGGCGGGCACCCATGCTGGGCAGGCTGGTCCAGCCTCTCTCCCGTGACTGTCTCCTCATTCTCTGTCCAGGCAGAGCTGTGCCCCGGGGCCCACACAGCAGGAAGGATACATGGACATGTCCTATATCCTGAGGGGTGAGGTCCCTTAAACACAGCCAGGAACGGTCCTGGTGATGTCTGAAGGTCAATATTTCCCAGGTGCAGAATTTGGGAGAAAGAATCATTACGCTGTATATCAGATCCTTTGCAACACAACTCCCCTTCTTTGTGGTTGGAAGGAGATGGAGACCCCACCCTGGTCCTGAGTGGCTGGCTGGGCACACCACCCTGACCTGGGCTTCTGTTGGGAGCAGTGCGGGCAGAGCAGTACACACACCTGCTTATAGCAAGGGCTGGGTTGGACCTGAGGCCTCCCCACTACGGGTGCATCTGTAGGGAAAAGTCCAACTTGCAGATGTGTGTTAGACGTCTCATTATGCTGAAGATTCAGGAGTAAGACACCTCTGAGTGTGATTTACTAGCAGAAACAGAAAAGGAACTGAAGCAGTTCAGCTTGGCATGCTAACTGTGGCATGAGAAGGTGCAAGAGACAGGGGAGGAAGTGAGGCTGAGATGGGAAGACCATGGCTCTGTTGACTGAGGAGGGAAAACAGCTGGCTAAAAAAAGTGTTAAAAAGCAAAGACGTCACTTGGATGAGTAAGGTGAGCCTGACCCAAGCCACAGTCTCTTCAATTATCTCATGGGCACGCAAAAGCTGGACAATAAGAAAGGAAGACTGAAGAAGAATTGATACATTTGAATTGTGGTTCTGGTGAAGAATATTGAATATACCGTGGACTGTCAAAAAAGTGAACAAATCAGTCTTAGAAGAAATCTAACCAGAATGTTCCTTAGAAGTGAGGGTGGCAACTTTGATTTGCTTGCTTTGGACGTGTCGTCAGGAACCAAAAGCTAGAACATGACATCGTGTTTGGTAAAGTAGAAGGTCTGCAAAAATGAGGGAAACTCTCCTTGAGATGCATTGAGATGCTGGCCACAGCAATGGACTCAGACATACCAATGATGGTGAAGATGGCACAGGAATGGCTAATGTTTCATTCTGTTGTACAAAAAGTCACCATGAATCGGAGCTGACTTAACAGCAGCTAACAACACAGTGTCAAAGCTGTTTTCACAGTAACGCAATGACGGTGTCTGCCTTTTTCTCTGTGTTGACGTTTGTGCGATGGGGCAAGAACAACAGTGGGTAAAACTGCTGGGGCCTCAACAGGAATCAAGACCCGGACACCAAAGTGCATTGGTATCCTTCACGGCACAAGAAAAGAAAAAGAAAGGAAGGGAAGGGATAGGAAGAAAAGGAAAAGAAGGTGGGGGGGAAGGGTAAGGGAAGAAAAGCAGTTTCAGTTAAGAATGTTCTTGAAGACACAGTAAAAATGATTAATCTTATTGCACCTTGACCCTTGTACACATCTTCTTCATATTCTGTGTGATGATGTGGGGCCCGCACGTGAAGCTCTTCAGCTGTATCTTGATGTACAATGGATGCCTCGATGAAAGGAATTGGGCGTGTGTTTGAGTTGTGACCCAAACTAGACACTTTTTCCAAGAAACACCATTTTCACCGGAAAGAACGTCTGAGAGATAAAGGACTGCGACTTGGATGTTTGGCAGACATTTTCTCAAATGTGAACAAAGTGAGCCTGTCCCTCCAAGGAAAGCAAGTGACAGTATTTGCTGCAATGATATAATTCAAGCTTTCAAGCACCAAGTAGTTTTTGGGAAAACTTATAACCGCCACTGTGAGCTCCACAGTTTCACAAGACT